TCTTGGTCCCATTCGATGTTCTCCATTTCTTGGAGGAAAGACTTCGTATCCTTCACATATGAAGGGGCCCCTCGGGCATATTTTTGTAACCGAGAATCGACATAAGCCGACAAATTAGCCGTTAGTGAATTGATGCCGCTGATTATGGGTCGCCCAGGGGGGTTAGGGAGACGCTTATGTGTTTTTGGAAGAAAATAAAAAATAGGGATGGTTGGGTTTTTCTGATATAAAAATTCATAATTTCTCTGTGAGATGATGTTTCTCTCTTTAGCTCCATTCAAAATTACTTGGAGCTCTGTATTGAATTGGCTAGTCGGATCGTATTTGAGTACACTATAAGTCTTTCTATCCCCCAGGATATGAGCTGCTTCTTGGAGATAATATGTAGTGGTCATTAGCACTATCCCCCCCCCCTTATCTGCTTCTCTGATAATCACGTCGTCTCTTTTCATCAACCGTTTAAGTATCTTATCTTCCTCTTTACTTAAATTCTGGAGACGATTATTTCTATTCCTATTGGTATTCTTAGTCATATTACGAAATTGTTGGTCTACCATATGTTCAAAAGTTTCTAAAAAAGGGCCCTTACTATAAGTAGGAAAAAAATGGGATTTTGGACGAAATCTATAGTCAACATTAGTATTTTCACCAGCGATTTTAGTCTCAGGTGGATGTAGTAAAAAATGTCTCTTGATAGTTAGAGAACGAATAAACTTTTTGAGATCAATAAATAATTCAAAGTCATTGGCCTTTCTGTTTGGGGCAAATTTCAAACCCCTTGATAACAAATTAATCTCCTCATCTGAAAGTGGGGTTGGGGTTAAGTTAAAGATCCCCCTGCTCAGTTCTTTCATGTTTAATGAACCTCCATTTAAAGAAGAAATTATTCCTAGTCCTCCGTCCGGATTCTCTTCACTGGAGAATCCTGACAAAGTGTTGCAAAGCGATTGGGATGTTCCCAGGTCTCTGCCCTGGGACGAAAATAATTGGTTATGGTCTTTTCTTTGGGACCTCTTGGTTTCCCCTGAAAATTTACAGCAGAATCATTAAATTGGGATATATGATTGTCTGGATTATCTCTGCCCCTAGATATTTGTGTATGGGGTCTATTAGTTTCCCTTCTCACAGGTGATAGACTGTTGTTTCTGTTTCTAAACTCTTGTACCTCAGGTCTCCTTATTTCACCTCTTGACCGCAATGGGTCCTTATTTCTCATTGGGGACCTTCCATTATTCGATGTCCTATGGGTATTGTGGGTGTTCCCCCCATAATAATTATGTGCCCCCCATGAATCTGTAGACCTGGGGAAATCTTCCCTGTAGGGCATTTTATATGAATTATTCACAGAGTGTTGTTGACCTCTCCGTGTATCTCTGGAACGAGAATTAATTCTAGCCCTCCCCCCTGGAGATCTGAGTACAGTTCTCCTATAGGTAGAGGGGCGTCTTGTCCTGCGGGTCAATTTATTTTTTGTTGCAAAAGTATTAAGTAATTTGTCTTCCTTATCCCTACTGTATTTTCTATTTTTAGTGTCTGCGATTTTTTCATCTAATTTTTTTATATTGTTCTGTAACGACTCCTCTCTCTCTTTATATTCCCCACTGTTCATATCAATAGTGGGGTTGGTGTCTAGCGTGATTAGTTCAGCTTCTAATTCGCTCTGTATTTTCCTTGAATACCTAATGATTAATTGAATCAGCTGAAAAGAGCAGTTAGAGAGAATGGCATCCCACTCCTCCAGAAATAAATCATCCTCTAACCCAAAGGCAGGTGTTTTATCAATTCTAAGGCCTCGTGGTATGAGGCCTTCCTTTAAATAATTTTCTAGATATGCTACCTCCCACCATTTTTTAGTTTCAGCAGAGAGTAATTTTTCTTTTTTCCTAAACAATTCATCTAATCCCTTAAATGGTTGAGGTTTATCCCACTCCTGAAACATAGCCTCAAATTTTCTTCTACGATTAGATTGTAAATCAGACAAGAAATTCATATTCGTGGCCATATTATCAAGGTAACAGATATGTGTGTTTCAAAGAAAAAATGGGTTACAAACAATAGCTTATAAGTATATCCCAAACAATATACAATCGATAAATAATATAGAAAGCAATAGTACTTAGCTTATAAAGATGTATGACAGCCTCCCTAGGTCGTTACCCAAACAAGCGACCTATATCATATATAGTATAAACCAAAACAGAGAAGATTCGGGATATGGCTGTGTAAATCTACAGAGAAAGCATAAAACAAAACATAGTGTGATATTGTTATAAAACACAATATTTCATGCGCAGTAATCTTATGCACTCACAGGATGTAGGCAGTAAAAGCGCTCTTAAGGTGCCTTCCCCAATGGAATGGGGGGCTAGCTGGTATTCCTTATCACCTCTGGATCCTTGTATCACCAAAAGACATCCACAGGTCAGGGTTCAGTAATAAAAAATTTATTTAAATAAAAAGTGTAGTCACCAATTCAGCATAGGATACAAATAACAGAAGGTTGTCCTACGCGTTTCGTTCTATAAGAACTTCCTCAGGGACCACAATTAAAAACAATAAATGTATCAATGTACAATACATAAACATATCCTATACACATCCCCCCTCCCTGTGTCCTTAAATAGGGCTAATCCCTAAAGTCTATTGGTGAATCCAGTAGGCGTGTAAATCCTCCTTGGTTCTAATTGGAGGACTGATCTTCCTGTGGCAGCTGTTTGTCATCCATTCATTTTCCATAATTTGTAATTTGCGCCTTTTTCGGCAAATACCGGAAGTGGTCATAATTTCCCGAAACCGGAAGTGACGTCGCGGGAACGTCCGCGTTCCACATGCGTTCACATGTTTTTAATTGTGGTCCCTGAGGAAATTCTTATAGAACGAAACGCGTAGGACAACCTTCTGTTATTTGTATCCTATGCTGAATTGGTGACTACACTTTTTATTTAAATAAATTTTTTATTACTGAACCCTGACCTGTGGATGTCTTTTGGTGATACAAGGATCCAGAGGTGATAAGGAATACCAGCTAGCCCCCCATTCCATTGGGGAAGGCACCTTAAGAGCGCTTTTACTGCCTACATCCTGTGAGTGCATAAGATTACTGCGCATGAAATATTGTGTTTTATAACAATATCACACTATGTTTTGTTTTATGCTTTCTCTGTAGATTTACACAGCCATATCCCGAATCTTCTCTGTTTTGGTTTATACTATATATGATATAGGTCGCTTGTTTGGGTAACGACCTAGGGAGGCTGTCATACATCTTTATAAGCTAAGTACTATTGCTTTTTATATTATTTATCGATTGTATATTGTTTGGGATATACTTATAAGCTATTGTTTGTAACCCATTTTTTCTTTGAAACACACATATCTGTTACCTTGATAATATGGCCACGAATATGAATTTCTTGTCTGATTTACAATCTAATCGTAGAAGAAAATTTGAGGCTATGTTTCAGGAGTGGGATAAACCTCAACCATTTAAGGGATTAGATGAATTGTTTAGGAAAAAAGAAAAATTACGCTCTGCTGAAACTAAAAAATGGTGGGAGGTAGCATATCTAGAAAATTATTTAAAGGAAGGCCTCATACCACGAGGCCTTAGAATTGATAAAACACCTGCCTTTGGGTTAGAGGATGATTTATTTCTGGAGGAGTGGGATGCCATTCTCTCTAACTGCTCTTTTCAGCTGATTCAATTAATCATTAGGTATTCAAGGAAAATACAGAGCGAATTAGAAGCTGAACTAATCACGCTAGACACCAACCCCACTATTGATATGAACAGTGGGGAATATAAAGAGAGAGAGTAGTCGTTACAGAACAATATAAAAAAATTAGATGAAAAAAATCGCAGACACTAAAAATAGAAAATACAGTAGGGATAAGGAAGACAAATTACTTAATACTTTTGCAACAAAAAATAAATTGACCCGCAGGACAAGACGCCCCTCTACCTATAGGAGAACTGTACTCAGATCTCCAGGGGGGAGGGCTAGAATTAATTCTCGTTCCAGAGATACACGGAGAGGTCAACAACACTCTGTGAATAATTCATATAAAATGCCCTACAGGGAAGATTTCCCCAGGTCTACAGATTCATGGGGGGCACATAATTATTATGGGGGGAACACCCACAATACCCATAGGACATCGAATAATGGAAGGTCCCCAATGAGAAATAAGGACCCATTGCGGTCAAGAGGTGAAATAAGGAGACCTGAGGTACAAGAGTTTAGAAACAGAAACAACAGTCTATCACCTGTGAGAAGGGAAACTAATAGACCCCATACACAAATATCTAGGGGCAGAGATAATCCAGACAATCATATATCCCAATTTAATGATTCTGCTGTAAATTTTCAGGGGAAACCAAGAGGTCCCAAAGAAAAGACCATAACCAATTATTTTCGTCCCAGGGCAGAGACCTGGGAACATCCCAATCGCTTTGCAACACTTTGTCAGGATTCTCCAGTGAAGAGAATCCGGACGGAGGACTAGGAATAATTTCTTCTTTAAATGGAGGTTCATTAAACATGAAAGAACTGAGCAGGGGGATCTTTAACTTAACCCCAACCCCACTTTCAGATGAGGAGATTAATTTGTTATCAAGGGGTTTGAAATTTGCCCCAAACAGAAAGGCCAATGACTTTGAATTATTTATTGATCTCAAAAAGTTTATTCGTTCTCTGACTATCAAGAGACATTTTTTTACTACATCCACCTGAGACTAAAATCGCTGGTGAAAATACTAATGTTGACTATAGATTTCGTCCAAAATCCCATTTTTTTCCTACTTATAGTAAGGGCCCTTTTTTAGAAACTTTTGAACATATGGTAGACCAACAATTTCGTAATATGACTAAGAATACCAATAGGAATAGAAATAATCGTCTCCAGAATTTAAGTAAAGAGGAAGATAAGATACTTAAACGGTTGATGAAAAGAGACGACGTGATTATCAGAGAAGCAGATAAGGGGGGGGGATAGTGCTAATGACCACTACATATTATCTCCAAGAAGCAGCTCATATCCTGGGGGATAGAAAGACTTATAGTGTACTCAAATACGATCCGACTAGCCAATTCAATACAGAGCTCCAAGTAATTTTGAATGGAGCTAAAGAGAGAAACATCATCTCACAGAGAAATTATGAATTTTTATATCAGAAAAACCCAACCATCCCTATTTTTTATTTTCTTCCAAAAACACATAAGCGTCTCCCTAACCCCCCTGGGCGACCCATAATCAGCGGCATCAATTCACTAACGGCTAATTTGTCGGCTTATGTCGATTCTCGGTTACAAAAATATGCCCGAGGGGCCCCTTCATATGTGAAGGATACGAAGTCTTTCCTCCAAGAAATGGAGAACATCGAATGGGACCAAGAGTACAGTTGGGCCACACTTGATGTGACCTCTCTGTACACAGTGATTAGCCATAGACTGGGTTTGGAGGCGGTTGATTATTTCATGGAGCAGGATGTGGAGTTACCAGAGGATATGAGGGACTTCATTTTTTCTTCTGTTCAATTTATTTTACATCACAATTATTTTTTCTTTAATGGTGATTACTTTTTACAAGTCACGGGGACCGCCATGGGGACCAAGTTCGCCCCCAGTTATGCCAATACATACATGAGAAGATGGGAAGAGTTATTTGTGTGGTCTGGACATGGCTGGAGGGCGAACTTGGTCCTGTGGCGGCGTTATATCGATGATGTTATTATTATTTGGAAGGGATCTTCTGTTTCGTTTCAGGATTATGTTAATTTTTTGAATGACAATGAGTACAACCTTGTCTTTACTCCTATCTGGAATAAGGATGAGATTAATTTCCTTGATCTTTGTCTATCTCATGATTCGAGTCATATAAAAAGTAAATGTTTCTTTAAACCTACTGATGGTAATGGGTTTGTTCATCGTAGGAGTGGTCACTATGAACCCTGGCTTAGGGGGATAGCCAAAAGCCAGTTTACCCGCCTTAGACGAAATTGTTCTGATAAACAGGATTTTTTCGCCCAATCATTACATGTTAAAAGGAAGCTTACAGATAGAGGATATAATGGAAAGAGATTGGAGAGAGAAATCCGTCGTATTGGCGATATAGAAAGGAAAACTTTTTTGGAGAATAAATCATATACTTCGGGAACTGGGGATAGTTTCCGTTCTGCATTTACCACCCATTATAATATTGATTATAATAAAATTAAGAGAAGTCTTCAAAGTTCTTGGCCAATTCTGCTACAAGACCCCATTTTGGGGACACATTTACCAGACAATCCCTTGGTAATCTACAAAAGGAATAAAAATTTGAAGGATATGTTGGCACCTAGTTATGCCATTAAACCACCATCAGGTCCCACTTCTGCTAGCTCAGGTTCATTTCGAGGCTGTGGCACTTGTAAAGCTTGTACCACGGTGTCTATAAAAAATACACATTCATTTTTTAGCTCCACCACGGGGGAGAGCTTTACACTTAGAGATAGTATAAATTGCCACACGGACTTTGTGGTATATCTGCTACAATGTCCGTGTGGCATGCAATACGTGGGACGGACTAAGAGGATTTTGAAGGTTCGCCTATTAGAACATCTTAATAATATCAGAAAGAGACTGACGACACACTCAGTCCCAACCCATTGTATATCATGTCCCCTTTTTTCATTTAAGGATTTTAGATGTTGGGGAATTGAACGAGTCCACCCCTTCTGGCGTGGGGGTAATAGAGTTCAAAGACTAGCCCAGAGGGAGACGTTCTGGATACATAAATTACAAACCCTCTCACCTAAGGGTCTCAATATCGATATTGATTTAATTTGTTTTCTAGATTAATATGGCCTAAAATTTTCAGAACAAAGAGTTAGGATATGTGTGTTTGCCTTTAATTTGGGTTGTTTCTACAGTTGAAAGCTAATCCCTACTTAGAGAGAGGATTTATATATATATCAAATACCAGGTAGTTATTTTATATATCTCTTATATTTTATTTTATCTCTTTTTTTACAATTTGTGATCTATTGTCCTATATGACCAAAAATCACAAAAGATTATAATAAAAACACAATAACCGATTATTCTAATATAAATAATGGATTTGCTCTAAGGTTTTTTAGAGCTGGTATAAATTGAATGTGGTAGATTCACTAAATAAAGTTTATATGGGAAGTAGTTATTTTGTAGCCACAATCTACTAACCCCTTTTTTGTGTAACCATAGCAATGGATTATTTCAATGTGTATAATAGGTTTATCCCAAAGATTTTTATGGGGAGTACAAATATATAACACGACAAATTGAAGTTTAAACTGATACAGTGATGAATCGATTACGGTGTTCACTTTGATTAACAATGTATAAAGTTATAAAAAAATAAAAAAAAAATAAAATAAAAACCTTTTAAATAATAGACATAGGAAATATGATCACTTTGTAATACGAAGCCTTAGGCTTATAATATACTGAGGTATTATGATTACTTGGTATAATATGAGGATTAACATTATGTTGTGTGATGGGATTAATGAGGAGGGTAATACTCAACAGATATATATACATAAATAACGGCTAAATATGTTAAAAATGGTTAACAGTTTTTTTTCTCAAGCAGAATGGGGCTTTTTATTTGTCCTGTGTTCCATTTGACCTTTTGAATGACTTGATCGCGCCCGGTTGCCATGGAGACGTCACTGGTGGAACGCATGTGGAACGCGGACGTTCCCGCGATGTCACTTCCGGTTTCGGCAAATTATGACCACTTCCGGTATTTGCCGAAAAAGGCGCAAATTACAAATTATGGAAAATGAATGGATGACAAACAGCTGCCACAGGAAGATCAGTCCTCCAATTAGAACCAAGGAGGATTTACACGCCTACTGGATCCACCAATAGACTTTAGGGATTAGCCCTATTTAAGGACACAGGGAGGGGAGATGTGTATAGGATATGTTTATGTATTGTACATTGATACATTGTTATTATTGTTTTTAATTGTGGTCCCTGAGGAAGTTCTTATAGAACGAAACGCGTAGGACAACCTTCTGTTATTTGTATCCTATGCTGAATTGGTGACTACACTTTTTATTTAAATAAATTTTTTATTACTGAACCCTGACCTGTGGATGTCTTTTGGTGGAACAAGGATCCAGAGGTGATAAGGAA